AACAGATATCGGAAGTGTATAGATTGTATTGATTGGCCCAGTGACCGATGATGATGCTTTACAGGGAATCTAGTATCATTTTTGATCTGCTGTCCCGATGCTAGGACTGCCAGTACTCTGATGGCCAGTTGAGTCTCTGGAGAGGAAAAAGTCTTCTTAGATCTCTTTGCTATCATTTTTATGAGAATGAAATGACACACCAGCAGTCAAACAAATTGTAACTTGAATAATGTAAGTTGCATTTTGCCATATGAAATAAAAGTTTCTAACACAAGTTTGTTACCTGAGTGACAATTAGGGAAATGAGTAAAATCGTAATGTTTTTCCTTATTTGAAAATTATAATTTGAAATTTCTTTCAGAAAGCAAAGATAGTGAGACTTTCTACCACAACATAAGGTAGTAGCTTTTGGTTAGCACTGTTTGTACACCAAGACTTTTAAAAAGTACTGAGTACGTACTGTCTAGCAGCTGATTTGATTGCAGAAATGAAGTCTCCACCTATCTGTACTAGGTCTGGAGACAATGCCTTGTTGAGATCCCCCGTTCTCTTGTATGGCTTGGGTCCTGTAGTTTAGAGTTTGCAAGAATTATGCTTCCGTATGAAATGCTTACACAGTATCTGAGCTATTTATTGCTGTATAAAGGAGCCCCGGTACTTGCATGGCAAGCATATCAGCAGAAAAATGGTTAGAGTCTGATGCTGCGGTATGAATACTGAATCTGCTAAGTTAGCTCCTTTTCAAAGTCAACTTATTCATGTATCTAATGTATTTTATTAGAGAAGGGGTTAGTCTGCTGCTTATAGCTTAACCCAGGGCAGTGTTGCTTTTTGTCAGTTTGTTGTACAGTTATGGATTACCACTTTAAAAAAATCTGCTATTGCTAGAAATAAAACTGTAGGCCTTTGCCAAGTAACTGAATAAGGAATACAGCCCACAGAAGAATACACAAACAAAACTGTTCCTGGAGTAACTCTCTGCATTCAGACCAAAATAGTTCATACAATGAACTTTTCTTCCTAGATCCCAGTTTGCAGTGCCTCTGGTTTTGGGGTTTTTATTTACTTCTGTATGCTACAACTTATTCCAATAATAAGTTTAATCTGCTTTCTCTAAGAGCCTAAAGTACAGGACCTTATTTTCATAGTTTGTCTAATATGTTTATAAATATATAGACATCATATTTGGCAAAAATATGCATAATGTAGGAAGTTTTTTTAATATTTTATTAGGAAATGCTGTTTTAAACAGAGAAGAGAGAGGTAGTTTAATTAGAGCTTATTTTTTCTTATTTTGCAGCCAGAATATTAAACTTAACCAAAAAAAGTTTGAAACTTTTCTGTGAAGCAGAATCACTTTGTATTAATAGTGGTAAAAAGAGAAAAGCTAAAATATTTAACAGAGTTTCAATTAACCAACAGTCATTGCTGCTTTTGACTGTTGGTCAAAATGCCACCACATACCTGTACGCCATTTTTAGTTTCTGTACAGTAATTATAAAAGCTCCAGTCAAAAGATTTTGTGAAGGCCAGCAGAGCTGAGTGAGTAAGCTCAGTTACATAGATGTTCCAAGAGCATCTTTTGTTAATTATCTAACTTAGAATTAAGAAAATGTTCGATGTTTCAATAGGGTCCTTTATGTAGCTCTTTTATGTAACACGGAGCTGTTTGCAGTGCGGCCTGGTGCAAGCCTACATTTTTCCTCCTGCGGTTCAAGTCAAGCAGAGGCTTGAATTGTGGTCAACTGTATTAACCACAGTTCCCTCGTTAACTTCCTATTTAAATAATGTATTCTGCCTTTTTAAATTCTTCCTGCCTCCTAAAGACTGGGATGGAAAACTTCAAGTCTTGCATGACAGCTAAGTCCCTCTCCTTGGATGTTTAATTAATGGGAGATGGATGTAATACAATCAGTTTGTATATTGCTTTGAAATCTTTCTAAATGAAAGGTATGGTAGAAAAATACATTTACAGTTGTTTTAATTGAACGAGATTTTATTTGTAGCAAGATGGACCCTATTCTTACATGACAATCTTACTTACAGTAATGACATTTTTATGACTGAAAATAAGAAAAATAAAATGTGGTAATGTTTGCATTAAATATTTTTGAGCTGCAGTTGAGAATATGGTAGAAAAGAAGGTGTAGATACTGCTTTATGCAGAATTCCATATGTTTCTATTTGTATTTGCATTTTAACAATAAACTGTATCCTGATTAGGAGGCATAGCTTTGTAGGTCCTTTGGAGAACAAAACAAAAACCTTAATTACGTGACTTGTGAAATTCAAAGGCAGATGAAATATTCTAGGCATGAATTACATATCATGTAAAGGGGACATTTTTAAAAATACAGTCTATGGCTTTTGTCGGGACAGGAGACAAAACACTAGCTACACTGATTTTATTGCAAAATCAAAAGCCCTTGCTCCCCCTTTTTAAGCAAAAGATGATGTTCGGAATAGAGAAACCTGTGCTGTGTCCATTAGTTCTTTATACATTTAGAAGTAAATCCTGAAACATAGCCATGTAGGCTGACAGGGAGAGTAAGTGAACCTCATTGTAGCAAGACTTTCCTTCGCAAGCCTTTTACGTAACTGTAATCACTGAAACACACATTTCCACGTAATCCTGTCAAGGATAGCCCCCTGATTTTAAGCTTGGAGAAGACAGAGCTTGTGACACAGTCATTCAAAAACTACCAAGAGCCAACAGACAAAATGAAGTGTTTCAGTTTGAAATGACTACTTGCAGAACGGACCACGACATACTAATCTTAGGGCAGAGTGGTACAAACGCCCCGCCATCCCTGGCTGACATTCCCGCCAAGTGCAGTCCGAGCCACTTGTGAACACGCGTGCCAGGCGACAGCGAGCCTGCTGCGTGGGTGGTGCAGGAGGAGCCATTGATCCTCTTTATGAAAGCAATGCCGTACGCAGAAGCTTAAAATAATCTACTCTTTGAAAGGACGTCATTTCATCTCTGCCCTCCCAAATAAATAAGTCAAATTAATGGACTCCTACATGATCCCCCTTCCTTGTCACAACAAGGAAGCGTAAGTGTTGATTTTCTGGCTGGCCTGATAAATTTTTGTGGCAGTTCTGCAAGGTTAATTTAACCTTACCAGTAGAAGCTTCACCCCAGTGTGCTTGTCTGTTGTGATGAGACACTTGTGGGCTATTATTTCTGGTTCATTTGTGCCAAATAGTGGTCCTCCATACGTTGATTTAAACAATTTCTTTCCACCACCTCCACACTTTCACTACTTTGTAAGTACTTCATTGCATTGCTTCATTAAATAATCCATTCAAGCTCTTGAGCAGATAATCGAAAGGGAAAGTGAATATCAAAAGGGGAAGTGTGGCAGAGATCAATTCTATCCTCTCAGTTGTGATTTTTGAAAAAATTGTTAGACTGTAGGCATATATCCACAGTGACCAACTCTGAGAGTTGTTCAGGGCAACATTATTTGTCCAGTTGAGGGCTATAAAATCCCGCCAGACTAGAGACCTGCAAATGTAATTGCCACATTTACCAGTTAAAATGTTGCAAACGCCAAATGCCATAGTTGGTACAGTGCCTATTGGATTGTGCTCTGCATTTTGCTGTGTTCAATGCACCATCTCTCCGATTACAGCATGCATCGATGCGTTATGTAAGCTTGTAGTATGAAGCAAGTTTAGGGGCTTAAGTTATGAAGTCACTTGTTTTCTGTTTTTCTACAGCTCTTATAATTGCAATGCAAATGAGTTTTTATGCATGGTCTTCTAACTTGATTAGATTATTGGGAGAGTTAAGCAATCAGTTGTCTGCAACTACAGTGTTATCTGGAAAGTTGCTTTTTTCCCCACTTCGAGTTTTTGTGAAAATTATAGGCATTTGGGGTCATTTCCTACATAGATGAGTTGCAAACTCAGTTGCAAATGTGATATTTTCTTATCTGTAGCACAAACATATACAGATTACTTTTCAATTTAACAAATGTTATTGCTGATCTACAGAGTAAGTTTTAAAAAGTGCTACCCAGATTTATGAAGAGATGACTAAGACTTTTTTTCAGGTAAAGATGATCTCGAGATAAAAAAAGGCATGCCTAAATATGCTTCCTATTTTAATTTCTGTTTATTTCTAGCACACTGGGAACTGCTTGCTTAGGAAAGCATTTTTTTCCTGATACTTTCCCTACTTTCATTTCCCTAATAACTAGGAAACTACAGACTGCTCAGGCTGGTGTAACATCCTAGTATGGCTTAGCATATACTCTTGCAGCTAAGCCAGATGCTGTAGCAAAGGAAAGAAAGTTACGGTTTATTAACTTGTAGTCTGTATTGCTGTTTGTGCAAGCTGTTTGGGTGACCAGCCTGTAGGGAAGGATTTTTGAACTGCTGCTGTATCCAGCGAGCTTATTACAATGTAGAGCTGGAATCTGTCCAGAGCACTGAAGCTTGCTTTTTCCCTGGTGTTATCTCTTTTTGGTTTTGTGGCCCCACTGTAGCTTGTTGTCCACCCTGGGGAACCAATTGCAATGCTGGAAAATTAATCTCATAATAAGTATTTGATAGTCTCTGCAGGATTCTATCTTTGGAGAGGCAGCAGCAGTGTGTCACTGACTTCTTACTGCCCTCTGATGATGGTGGTTTTGACACAAACCCTCCTCACCACTGCCCCAACCCATGTGATTTAATAACGTGAGCTTACAAAGGAACTGTTGCAGTGAATACAAAGTATGCTCCAAACAGTAAATGTATGTGTATTTAACTTTGATAGCAATTAAGGACAAGTAGTGTCAGCAGACAGCAGAATGATACTACAGCTGTCCTGCATGTTAAGGAATTGATGTATTCAAGAAGGAGGTTTCACAAGTGCTGGAATGTTTAAGAAAAGTAGAGTGGAAACCATTTTTTAACTGTTTAGCTCATTTCCTCCTTAAAGTCATTGTTAAATAGATCTCATGCTTGCATTTCTCACATCTCGTGCCTCTCACTGTCTTTCCTGATAGATTGCCCCAGCAGAAGGATTGGTGTCTATACTAAAGAAGAGACATGACAGGGAAGGAAAAACAATTGCTCAAGTCCAGCAAAGGCAAACAAAGAGAAGAGTGCGATTCCAAGAAATGGAAGACACGTTGGATCAAGGTAATTTAAAGCTGTTAATTCATGGGTTGCGCTCTTGGGGTGCAAATGATGTTGATCTTTTTGTTCACAAGAGCAAAGTGGGCGTTCATTGTATGCACTGTCTTGGCTTTTTAAAACTTAAATCAAGTAATAAGTGAAGGTGATTGAGTGAAGATTATTCTATATCAGGTTTGGGTAACAAGGCTACAGAAGGATACAATAAGTACACTTCTGTTTTAAAGTTTGGTTGAGACTGAAGCCACAGGTTTTTTCCTCTGGCTGAATGATTTGCAAGTGACATCTAATGGATGTCCTTTCATTAATGTTTAGAGCTTAGAGGTGAGAGGTGTAGGCTTTCTCCCTAAATCTAATCCATGTAGGTGAAGAGGGATGCAGAAGAAACAAGTCTGTTGTGGTTTTCTCACAGGTAGCTTTCCAACCCTTTCTAGTAGACCATGGGATTGGAGGGTGTCAGATTTTAACCTTGCTTTATAATTAATTATCCATATGTATTTGCTAGCTATCATTAAATTTGGCTAAACACCTTAGTGCCTTTTTGATGGGCGAAATAGCCTCCTAAGAAATACAATATATTATTTTGTTATGCTTTTCTTGGAGTTTAAGATCTCTATTATTCAAGCTAAAGAGATGTTAAGAAAAATACTTCTGGTTACTAATGATGCTACTTTCTGTATCTACTGTGTGTGCCAGCCACTGAATGGTATTAATGGAGGTCTTAGTGCTTAAAAGTGTGTTAAGTGTCTCTCATACACTGAAAAGAAAATCCATTCACTGCCCAAAAGGGAGCTTATCCCATCTTTTTCTGGAAATTATATTAAAACAATTTATATTTTAAATAAAATTTCAATTAGAGTTTCTTCTATGATTTTTTCCAGGGATTTGGTGATTCAAAAGGAAAGTTGTTTATTACTATTATTTTAAATCTGATTTCAAACACACAAAAAAGTGCTTGAATGTTTCTTCTTTTTTTCTTCTTTTCCCCTGTTTCGTCTCCCTGATGTAGAGTGAAGGGAGTTCAGAAATTTTCTTAGAGCCTCTTCAATCTGACAGAAGATGCAGATGTTGTTCATGCACACAAGTTACCAAGGACAAGCGAGGTTGTGAGGATGTAGCAGCACCTCTGCAGCCTCTTTATTGCTCTTACTCTGGAATAAACAATCATGCAAAGAGTTACCACAGAACAACTGAGATGTAAAATAACCCTTCACAATAGCCTACCCTGAAGATTTTTGTCTCTATCCTTACAGTTAAAATGTCAGAGTAAACACAAACAGTTCATGGTAGCGCAGTCAGTGTCAGTACAAATGAAGCAAGAATGTTTCCATTTGTTTTAGTTTCAAAGCTTTTTGTTTCATTTCAGCTATTTCCATGAAGGAAGGCTTTGGTTGTGCGACATTCTCATAGTTAAGTGTATTTTGCTTCAGTGTGGAATGACTCCACAAGTGATACCAGCAAGGACAGGTACACAGGTTGCAGAAATGAAGCTATATAATTATTTAGGTTTCTGAAAAGACTGGGTAGAGAAACGTACAGTTCCTGGTATATATTACGGTCACTTTGACACGGTGAGCGTTATTAAGAGTGTTTACCTCCTGACCCATTCATGGTAAAATCCTATCTGAGATTTTCTCACACGCGTTCATATTGCTTTGTAGATGATCCTTTTTCACCTTTTCTCCTCTTTCATTTACAGATGAAGTAGCTGGTGGCTCCTGTATTTTGCTGATCCTGCTGTGCATAGCAACTGTTTTCCTTAGCATTGGAGGAACTGCATTGTACTGCACCTTTGGTGACATGGAATCCCCTGTGTGTACTGATTTTGCAGCCAACATGGATTTCTATTATACCCAGATATTGCAGCGTATGGAAGAACTTAAACACTGGACAGCCTTCTCCTGGTTGAAATGAGCGGAGACAGCACATTGAGGGCTCACTAATGGTTACTGGAGAGGGTAGAAAAAAATTGTGATTTCAAGTTCTCTAACACTTGCCGCCTGCAGGTGATGTGTATTTGATGATGTACTTACACTTTTACTTAGAAATCAAGAAAATTCTAGTTTAGCAATCAGGTGGCAAAATGTTCACATCTTAAGCTGTAGCAGTGTGGCATGGGAGAATAAAAAGTTACTCTCTTCACCCTTCTGAGAGTAGGCAAGTAGCTTTTTGACAACTTAAGCAAGTGAAGAAGAAAGAAGAAAATGAGTTGTCTTCTATATGCTCTCCCATTGCCACACATTGTGTGAGCAATCTCTGGAAGCTTAGTAAAAGGACAGCTTTAATTTACAGCTGTTTGTGCAAAGGTGTTGCCTCCAGCTATCATGCAATAAGTCTGTGTTATGGAAACATTTTTTTTTTTTTCCCTAAGTCTTACTATTTTTCTCCATTTTAATTCTCCTGGTGAGCCATGTAATTATTTGGGTGGAGTGAGAAGAGTGCAGCGGCATTAACGGAGCCCTCATTTGGTGATTAACAGGCTGACCCTGTATCTTATAGCTTACGGTGAATATCATGAGTGGGATAAATCTGCTGGCAGATTTCACGAAATTTCCTGGAACTTTACTCCCAGTATTGCGTGGGCCATTTTAGAAACGGAAGGTTAAAAAAAGAAACCATTGGTCTCACTAAACACAGAAACAAAAATAAGATGTTTAGTAAATTATTCCTGTTAAATAGTAAAGTGGCTTTGGCCAATTTTAAAGCACCTGGTAGCAGGTATGGGGCTAACTGGATTTTCTGTCCAGCTACGTCACTGACTTGCAGTAATCACTTTGTGCCTCAGCTTCTCCTCCATAAATGGGGAATAATGATCCTTGCCTTTGTCTGTGAATATTTATTGCAATTAGGGCTCATGTCTGATTCATCCCAGATGAGTGCACAGGATCACTGAACTGTGTGGCTGCAGCCTCTCTCAATGAGTGAATGCTTATGTAAAGTGGGACTGATCCAACAGAAGAGATGGAGGCTCACTGCAGATCCGCGGCATGTTAGTAGTCCAGGGCACTCGTTCCAGCAGATAAAGCACATTTGCATCTATTTGCCCTGCGGTTCTGAGACCTGTGTTGTAAAATCTGTTCTTTTTCTGTCAGCTATACAAACAAATTTAAATCGGTACAAAGAGTCATTTTAAATGGGTATTTCTGTCACTTGGTGCTCAGCCCTCCCTGTGTGGTATGCGAGAGAAACACTGACATGACTGTGAAGGTGAGAATTAGATACACAGGCCTTTGGCCCACGCTCTGGTCAAAATGTGGCAACTGTTCGTGCACAGAGCATAACGGCCTAGCCCTGCTGAAGGTGTTAGTGTGAAACGATTCCTTTACACCTCAGGAAACGGCATTTTTGAGGGGTCCGCTTCACTCCACTCCATGATTTCCTGCTTACTAACGACGTATGATGCAGTGTGTTCAGGTTTAGAATATTATTTTGTAAAATACTATGAAATGAAATCTTCAAGATATTGCTCAGAATTATAACATTAAATGATCATGCTTTCTGGCATTTGCAAGCAAATTGTCCCTCTAGTGAGCTTGATTGTTCCTAAAGCACTGTTATACTTGACGGGTTTTTAAAGTGAAAGTTAAAATCACATTTTTTTCTAGAATAAATTGCATGTATGATTCCTCTTTTTGTTTCCACTGCGGAGGCTTAGTTTATTTATACCTTAGGGAGCCTCGTGTGCAGCTTTACATTAAACTAGCAAATTTAAAATGCCCAAATTAATGAAAACTTTTGCTTTCAGAATGAAACTTGAGAACGGTAGTTTGGTATATTTTTTGTTTGTTGTCTTCAGCATATTAGAATGCTGGGCTAATCTAAAGGAGAAAGGGAAAGACACTTTTGTATTTTAAAGTGTTACTGGCTGGTTCAGTTTATTATTTGAAGTCTGGGTTTGTTTGTTTATTTATTTAGTTTTTCTTTTAAAGAGAATCTTAATTTTCTTTTTTGGTAATTTACTCACAGAGTAATTAAAAAGCATGCATTCAGTTAAAATACGTATTTATAGTGACTGTGTAGTTAGAATATATTTTGGGTTTCTGTAACTTTGCATTGAGTGTTTCAAGATATTAAGTTTATTCCTAAAGAGACAACTGTTGATTTCAGCTTAAAAAAATCTTTTTAAGTTTTTGTGCACTTCATCACCAAAAAGATCAAGAGGTATTTCTAGAACTATTTATTCAAAAGTATATCAAATATGGAGATCAAAGATCCTCCACTTCTAGGTTCATTTAATTAAAACTATTTTAAAATAATTATTTTATTTAAAACTGTAAAGCTATTTAAAGTCAAAGCAATTTTTAATAAGCACTTCAGTTTAAATCAGTGGTCCAAATCCTGGTATGTCTGCTTTGTGCTATGTTCCCAGTGCAAAGACTCACTAGTATCAGCAGAGCTGCCTACAAGAAAATCGTGAAGAGGTTGGGCACCACTTTACCAGCACATACCCGATGAAAAATGAGCGGCCAGGCATTCTGTGTAACTCGGCTACCTTACACTTGTGTTGTAACTTGGAGCACCTCTCCAGCCTTTCCAGCCTATGCCAAGGTACCGCACCTGCAAAGTCTCTCAGGATCTGAAGGAGCGGAAGGGGCACATACGCACAGGCTGCCCGGCTCCTGATCTGAGCTGTTCACTCCTCAGTTGCAACCAAGTGGTTGAATCTGGATCTAATTTCTGTTGGCATTCCTTTATAAAAAGCTGATGGTACTAATTCTTGCTTCATGTGACAATTCTGTTAGTGCAAATAGTTTGCATGGTCTGTAGTACATTATCAAACTTGTAGCTACCAACGTAACAAAATTTGCTTTGTGTCGAACTCCAAAGAGTGTGCGGGTAGGCCTGATGTTGGCCTTCCTTCATGATCTGTTCTCTTTAGATTGCTGGTGACATTGCTTCCGCCTGGGTGACCTGAGGGGTTAGGATCTTACAGTCCAGTAAATCCAAGCTAAAAGAAATAGTTGATTTGAACAGTTATTCCTCTTGTCTGAGTATTTTGAGGTAAAATAATACTGAGCAACAGCTAAGATTGTTATAAGTAGGAAGAAAACAGAGGAAAAAGGCTTTCCCCCCTCCTCTGTGTGTTTTAAAGCCCTTTGTGTGTAAGTTTGTTTTTATTCTGTTTCCTTGCCTGCCACTGCCTTCATGGCTGTTCTGCTTGGCAGCAGGGGAAACATGCTACATCAGCATAAAACCATTTGTAGTTGGTAGGAAAATTCAGGGAATGGTGCAGTACTTGACAGTAGTTAAAAGTCTTTTCTTAAAATATGACTGGATTTCAGGCTGATAGTGTATCTTCAAACAAGTTGTGGCCACTTAATCACCTGCAGCACTGCTAGAAACCCTCACCTTCCAGTTTATTTTTTGAGCATAATTATTTTGAAGAGATTCTCGTGATAGAGCAAAACCAACAAGACTTTTGATGTAGATTCAGCATACGCTGCCAAGAAGAGCTTTCTGATGACATAATTAACACCCTCACCCCAAATAGCATAGACTACACCAAGAAAAGCACTGTGCTGTAGCATAGCCACACTATACTACGGGCTTGTTTTCAAAACAGTGTCAGTAAGGAAGCAGATATTCCACAGCCCAGATATGCCAGCAGAAGTTTGTAATCTAGACACAGCCCATGTTTTAAATTTTTTCCAGTATCTTTGCTTTCATACTTGGAAAATGCATAGCCCTGGTGACAAGCAGTAGGAAGTAGTTCAACGAAAAGGGAAACTCTTGTTTAGGGCTTTCGGGAGTAAAGGGCAAGCTTGAACTATCAAATAAGCCGAGTAGATTGGAAGTCCAGATTCTTGTGTGACTGGGTACTATTCCACTCAATAATCTAAAGGGGATGTTACCCTCCTAAGAAAACATGTTTGCCTATTTTGTACTGTAATGTAAAACCAAGACCATCTGAAAGGACTAATAACTATTTGTAACAAATTTAACTTAAGCGTCCTTTAGCAAAAGGAGTAAATAATTGTGTTTGAAACCATCACCCAAGCTTGTAATTTAAATACTGTAGCAAAAAAAATAAAAACTGTCCCAAAGAAAATATATGAACCTTTTTGGGTACTGTGATTTCTAAATGCATAAAAAGACTGAGAAGATTTTCTGTGACATTCAAGTAAATGAGCAGTACCTCCAATAAGAATTTTATGGTCAAACCCAAACCAGAATGGAAAATGAGGATAAAAAACACATAAGGTTTGGTTTGGTTTGGTTTTTGGTGTAATGTAGTTTTCCTGGGTGGGTTGGTTTGTCTTTGCTTTAATACTAAACGAAAACCCAGCTTCCTCACAGAGCCTGGTTCCTCTAGACAGGTGGGTTTAAAGTACTAAATGTTGCCTTACTGCATCGTTCTGAAAACAAATTGACAGGCAGTAAGTTTCAGAATTCCTAGTAACTGGGTGGGTGACCGGGATAGTGGTCACAGGCCAGTCTGCTCTTTGAGTTCAATTAAATAAATAAATAAACCCCACAATTCCAGCTCAACCCAACCCAGCAGCCAGAGGGTTTTTTCTTATTCAAAAATGAGAAAAAAAGAGAGATTTTCATATAACTTCATTGAAACTTGTGAGATAACATCTCACAGCACCAAACTAAATCATAACATAGTATCTGGCAACCCGGAGGTGTAGCCTAAGAGTGGTCTTTATGTGTAGAAGTAAATTGCTGTTGTAAAGAGTTGTTCTGTGAAGGCTGACATCTGGTTTCAGGAAGACAAGCAGCTGATCTTCCACTTCCGAGTCCTGATCTGACTCCTGACCAGAAGCATTGGTAATCTTGAGGAACCTGGATGGGCTTCCAGAACTGGTCAGTAAACTCTTTTGTCCCCAAGACAGGCTTTGCCTTAGGCTTCGGCTTTGCTGATTCCGTACTACTACAGGCTGAGTTCACCGAATCTGTCAGTCACTGCTTTCATTACTTGGTTCTCCTCAACAACCTTCTTGTGAACAGTCTTCTATTGCTGCCTTTAGGAGGAGCTGCTGCAGTCTCCATCCATGTCTTCATCCCAATGAGTCCCCTTTTATTCCTTCTGTCTCCCTCCTCCTTTACCATTTCTTTCCTGGTATGAAATAGCATGTGTTCTATCATTCATAGGATCATAAGGTAAGTGAGTTAGGAGGGGACCTCAGAAAGTCTCTGGTCCAACCTTCTGCTCAAGGCAGGGTCAACTGAGATCAGACCCAATTGCTCAGGGCTTTATCCAGTCGGGTCGTGAAACCCTCCAAGGATGGAGATTGCACAGCCTCCCTGGGCCTATTCCCCTGCTTGGCTGTCCTCAGGGTGAAAAAGTTCTTCTTTATACCCAGTTTGAACCTCTGTTTCAGTTTGTTGTCTCTCATCCTCCTGACGTGCACTGCTGTGAAGAGCTTCTTAGTAACCTCATAGTTACTGGAAGGCTGCTACTAGGTCCCCCAAAGCCACCTCTTCTCCAGGCTAAACACCGTGTTTTCTAGCAGTGCCCTTCTGATCCTTCTTCACACTTTCTTGTCCACAGCATATTCCTTCTTGATAGGGATCCAACAGTCTCCTATTAGAACAGGGATCCTGTATGCTTCTCCCTTCCTCTTCCGCCTTACACTCTCAAATTCAATATCAAGATTTTAAAATCAGTAACGAGGCCACAGGCAAAACTGAAATAGCAATGATAACTACTATTACATTAAAAACTCTCAATGACTCTCACTGATCTGTTAGTGTGTAGCAGTGATTTCAAAACTTATGCTGATTCTTGTCCTGGTCTTAAACAGCTGGTATTTGAAGGATCATATGTTGACTTCCATCTGCCTTAATGAAATAATCTAAATATTTTTCTCTAGAATAGCTACCCAAGGAAGCCTACAGTATTTAACTATAAAGTCCTTTCTTAAAAAATGATAATTTTTTTTTTTTTTTTACACATTGCTTCTTTAAGGCTCCTTATGATTTGTGATATCATTTGTGATTCATATTACTTTGAATTAAATGTCACGGTAATTCTTCTTTGGCATAACATGAGCCTAGGGTTTACTGCATTCAGTAATGTCCAAAAATTGTGATCATCTCTTGAAGAAAATGATGATGGGGAGTAGATGCGTGCTGTTTTACAGAGTTGCTCTGTAGCAACTCAGATGTCACAGAATTGATATCAGTGAATTTCAGCCAAAGGTCTGATTCTGCAGTTGGGTTCATCCTGAGCTTGTTTTTAATGGCAAACAGGCTAAAATAAAAAATTTAGAGACAGCACTGAAGCACACCCAAAATTTCAAAGGCATGTGTAATACCAGACCAAAGTCCTCCGTTAATCTAAAATTGTTGAGCTGCTCTTTCTTGAAAACAAGTTTGAATCCAGCTTCACGCAACAATAGATCAGTCAGCTTTCTCCTTTTGCTTTTTGCCAAGAAGCTGTCTGGCAAAGTGTCATCTTTTAGCCAAGATGGGCCCCTGATGTAGGACTCATTTGTTAGGCTGTTGGGGAAGTTTCCAGTAACACTTCCTGTCAAATGACAGTTAATGATTGTGTCCCTTTTCATTGCCTGGCATTGGAAATGAGTTTAAGCCCCACTATTGTGCTTTCATAGACTGATCAACTTTAAAGCTGTTACCAAAACCAACTTTCAGAGTGAGAGCTATAGGGTTTTTTCACAAAGTGCCATGTGCTGAGTACTGGTTTACTAAACTTTACTGGTTTTCAGTGTTTTGCCAAAACATGACCAGATTCCACAACTGCTGTTTGTAATGCATGGAAGCGGTGCCAATGCAGCGTTTCCTACAGTGCACCCCTTCAGCTGGTCGGCATTCATTCCACTCTCCTGAACTGCCAGCCTTGCACGAGAAGGTAATGGTTGCATCAGAAGTGGCGGTGAAAGCATATATGCACTAGAAATTGAGCAACATGAGGATATTGTTGCTTCCACATAAACCTTACACCTAAAAAATGTACTTTTTTCTTTTTTACCTTCATTTAGGAACCATTCATCAGTTTCCCCTGACATCTTTTTAGTAGAGAGAGACGGTATTAAGCCAATTCCTCACTTCTTCTCCAGGAACTGGAATTGATGCTTTTTGCCAGAGAGAATGTGAATCTTGCCACTCATATGCGATGCTGAGAATCCTCATGCTTGTACAGCTTAATACTTCTGGCTTTTCTGCCAGAATTTCTAATGAAATTGGTAGATAGTCTCTGAGGCTATGAGAGTAGCAAGACTATTTTCACACTATTTTTCCTGAGCTAGCTGAATTCAGTGCACTATAGAAAGGACTCACAGAAAAGAAGAGCGTGAAAGGCTTGAATCACTAAGGATCTACACAGTCAATTTCAGCAAGACAAAATGTCAGTATCTACCATCATAGAAACTAGCAATGTTGCTCCAAAAAGGCCCACCATAATTAATAGACGAGTATATTTGAAAAGAGTTACAAAGAAAAAAAATGACACACTGCGGTTTCTCGGTGACTATTCAAAGATCTGAGGCTTTATGTACAAGTTAGTAAATGAAATGAGGGGAAACAACTCAAGGTTGTACAAAGGTAAAGACTGAGTATATTACGGGCAAAAGGGCTGCAGAAAGAATGTAATAAAGACCTCTGATCAAAGATGATAAATTTTTATTGGTAAAGGATGAAAAATATTTCTGATTATACCTATCAGTGATGGTGGGTTTTTTTTCCAATCAGATTTTACAGAAACAGAAAAAAAATGCCCAATAGTTCAATGATATCAGGGAGGAGAGGGACTAATGGTTAAAATATTGCTTAATTCTTTGTAGGACTCCTTAGGAGGAATTTAAGTGGTTTGTTACAAGGTCACGTAGCAGGAAGAAGCACAGCAGGACCAGAGCTTATAAATCCTATCTTCTGATCTTTTGTCTGGTCCCAGTTCCCACTAAGACAACACAGATTAGGGAAGATAAATGAGTACCCTGTTGTTCACATTATCTTTGACTTCACACAGCTTTGAAGACTTTATTTAAAGATACTTTTATGTTCTCATAAATTTTGTGGTCATCTTAAGGAATAAAATTGATTCAAGAGATGAATTTCCTTTCTAGTATGCAGCACTAAGTCCAAATGCCATTTTAGCATATTTTTACTACTTGATATCATCATATCCATGGTAGCTGGTTGCTATTTACATGCATTAAAGCAAATTGTATCAACAGACCACATGGGAACATAGAGTATAATAGCAACTCCTATTGCTATCAGAAAATGAGGCTCAAGCTGTCTGTAGTCACTTTGTGTTTCACCATCTAACCCTTACTACTCATGCTTGGTTAACTACCAGGAAAGTAACAATGCTCAGCAGAGCAGGCCCTATTGAGAATCCTACTAAAAAAATCAAGCCACTATCTCGCAGCTCTGCTGGGCATCACACAATACCTATCGCTGTGCCAAGAGTGAGGAAACAAAGCGGCGTGGCAAGAAGTAGCGGTCACCAGATTCTGCCTCCCAGCAGAAATGAAGTTCTTGTGAGGCATGGAAATGTTTTGACCATAAAGTGGATGTTGTCGTCACTGTCTGCAAATGTGAAAGATGAAAATAATTTCAAATGTTCTTGGCGTCCCTCAACATGCCTTAATAACCTTTTTTTTCTTTTCAATTTTTGTATTATTGAAAGCTGTCCCTTAGTTGAAGACAAAGAGGAGAATTAAGCAATGGTAAATCTTTTTTTTTTTTAAATTTGGCATGTACTGTATTTTTCTATAAATAGGGCATTGCTTTTCTGAGCCAATTCACTGCTGAGTAATAGCCCATAGTTTACCTACAAAGGCAAAATAGATGGCCATTAGCAATAAGTGACTCATGTATTATAAAACGGCCCCATTAAAAAGAACCATCTCTATTGACTCATGCAGTAGGATGATGAAACAGTATTTTTGGTGAACTGGCTGAATTTTGCAACGCGGAGCAAGCCTTCCACAGCCCACCCACACCGACAGCTCAGTCTGGCACTTTGTTCGTCTTTGTACTGGGACATTTCACAGCTACGATTTCCCAGTACAGAGCAGCCAGGGAGCCAAGTATTCTTCCCTTTGCTCC